GTGTCCTACAAATTCAATGAACATGGTGCTTCAAGAAAGTATTAAAATTTCAATAATTCAATTGAGTGGTCAAATGATATCAGATTCAAGTGATTTTTTATAGAGATATCTTTGAATGAGTATCTATAAAATAGATAGTTTGGATTAGTGAAATACAATATGAAGTGGGCCCTACAAGGGTGTCCTCTTATTTGAGGGATCCCTCAACTGAAAAAATTAAAATCTCATCAATAAATTCGTTTTTATTTTATTGATGAGTAATTCTATTTGGACACACAACATTGACACACTTAGTGACACCCGCTGATGTGTCAATGTATCATTTTTTCTTCTTTTCTCCTCGTTTTCTGTTCAACGAATGGTACATTGACACATCAGCGGGTGTCAACTAAGTGTGTCAATGTTGTGTGTCCAAATAGCATTACTCTTTATTTATTTGCCCAAAGTATGCCTTGATGGGTCCCAAATACCTGATTGTATCTCATTGTATTGTTAACTAGGGGAGGGTATTCATAAGGTCTTTTAAAAACCACTTTCTTAATCTCAATATATATAGCCATATAAAGTCATAGTCTAATCGTGAAATCAAAATGACAATGAAATTTTTTGAAAATTCTCAATTCTGTCAATGTAACCACAAAATCTAAAGGAAAAACATATTAAAACAACGTTGGGGACCCATAATAAGCTAGAGACGATAATTAAATTGAGTTTAATTCAAAACCATCGATATGCAAAGGGTTTGCAATTTTAAAGATCATTGTACTTATTTCAAAACAAAAGTCCACTCATAAAAGGTCTTATGCTAAATTAATCAAAACCGGATTTCCAATGACAGGACCCCACCCCCCGAATTCCCCCTCAGAATCCATGATGAACCTTGCTTCCCGTCCGACATCTACCCGATGTCAGACCCACTTTACTAAAAAGCCGTGTAGCCCTAATTAAAACAAATGAACAATTTATCTTTTACCGAAATTTTGGCAGAGTCTCCCTTGAAAATATGAACTTTACCAAATTTTCCACTTATAAAACACAATAGAAAAACAACCATATAAAATGGTTAAAGTAGCTTGGATTTAAATAATACAAAGGAATTTCCGGGAAGGGTTGTTACACTTACATTTTCAGTGTCTAAAGACTCAAGTTACCGTTACACACCCATATAAAATTTATAAAAGAATATAAAAGATAAATTATATATTATATTAACTCAAGTCGTCGAACCATTTTTCCGTCGAATCATCTATAACACATAGTTCATTCGCTAAGTTAACGGGATATCAGATTATGAGGTTGAAAGTCTCAATCCATATCCTTTTAATTAAATCAAATTCATATCAAATTTTGATCCATTGACAGGTCAATTCATATAGCTAGGCATGGACATGATTTGTTCTGGGTAGCTTTTCTGCTATACTATAAACTGAACTGTGAAGATCCATATTTTGGAAAGCATATATTATTATTATCAACAAAATATTATTATTAAATATGGGGCTACGTTCTTGTAATAGTTGTGTTTATTGTTTGCCAAAGCCCTTTGTAGAGCTATGTTCTTGCAATGCTCTTTTATTAATGAAATTGATGCGGCTATAAAAAACAAATTTGGTTTTATCAAAGGATTCTTTTCCATTTATTATCTTTCAACTAAGCACACTTTTCTCTCTCTCCCTCCTCGACCAAAAGAGGGATACCCGTCAATAATCAATTACTTGCACTTCCTGAAATATTTGATTGGAACGGTTTGTAGGTTTTAAAAACCGTAGCTAGGCATAACTAAACTGAAGACTGCTCCGTTTAACTTTTATTCTAGTCGAAATTTGAATCAAATCTGTCGATCAGTCAGTGGCTGACTGGTTTTTTTGTCCAACCAAAAGAAATGAATGAAAAGTACAAATGTGACAATCAAATGGTGGAGATTAGAAAAATAAATGAATATAATGGTGGAGATTATAATCCAATAGTAGCCAAATTTAAAGATCACATAAGGGCACTGCCAAAGCATATCCAAAACTTAGTTTTAAACAGGGAATGTTCATTTGATCACTTTGACCTTATTCAAGAACTTATAATATGATCTTCTGGAGAGACCGAACAGATCAAACATAGCAGCTCTCTACTTAATAATAGCGTCCTCTAATCGCAGTCCAGCTGCGCCGCGTTATGTTTCAGGAATTTTTTTTTTTGGGAAGAAATAAAAATAAGAATATTGGTGCATCTGTTGGAGGGAGCATAATCACCGTGAAATTGTGTCTATTTCTGTATCCTTTTTTCGGGTCAAGAAATTATCAATCAAATGATTACATTAACTCTTTCTTTGGACCCAACCGTTGGTTCATACCTGGCAAGGGCAATAAGCACTAGTCCTTCAACAGCTAAGTAATTGCCAAAGAGCATATCCAATGGAGATATTAAATATAAAATGTTAAATTTGAATTTGATAGCTTATGTGGCAATTTGACACTTACGGTGTGTTTGGATAAACTTGAGATTTGAACAAAAGTCAGAGCTTTCAAATTGACATACACCAATTCCCGTGTTTGGATAACTAAAAATTTTAAAAAATCAAAAAATTAAGAAATTGTATATGGAAAAAAATATGGAATTTGGAGGTCATAAATACCAACTTTAAATTCTATCTAAATAGTTGTCATTTCTAAAATTCTAAGAAAAATGGAGTTCTAAAATATTGTATTTCATGATTAAATCCATTTGCCAAAAAAAAAAAAAAAGCTTTGCAAATTTTAAAACATTAATTTACATCATTTTAAATTCCTCAGTACTTCCACATCCAAACACATTGTTGGTAAATCTTTGTTAAAGAATATGTTGAACATTTTTCATATTTAGTGAAGTAACTAATGGGAGTAATATTTTATTATTATTCAATGGTGAAGTACAATGAAGTAACATTTTTCATATTCCTTCCTTCTCCCCCTTTATGGGTAATTTCCTACTTTCTAACATAAAGTTTGCAATTGGCATCCACTATGAAAAATAAGAAAAATATTAGTAAAGAATGATTAATATGTGACAATAATGGTGGAGATTAGAACTTGTACACAAAGATTAGTTAGGCAAGCAACAATGGATAGAAAACTAAGAACAAGGTCCACTTATAAAATGGATAGAAAATCAAGTCTTAAACACATAATGTTCACTTTATAGTGAACTTATTCAAAAGTTCCAAATACCAAAACCTTGTCCTAAAACAAGTTATAAATAAGTCTATAACATAGAAGTAATAAACTTATTACATGGCCAACATGATTGAAAACATCACGATTTTTTGGAGTCGATGATTCTTATATAATAAGAACTCTCTCTACTCAGGTTGCTTTCGGCACAGCCTCATGTCATAAATTTCACGTTCCATCTATAGACAAGAAAATTCTGAATATTAGAACATGCAACATGCAAATTACAACCTGCAACATGCAAATTAAAACTGAGAAATGATTAAGGATTCAAAACAAATGTTACCCCAACAATGCGATTCAAATTCTCCTTGGCGACAAGATATTCACGGTTGACATTTTCAAGAGCTACAAGGCACCTACAAGCACAAAACCATACATATATGTATTATTCATAAATTTTGTTAGTAGATTATTTGGCGATCATGAGAGAACAAATAAAATCTTACCCTTCTTTGTTATTTGCTTCACTTGCATCAACGAGCTCTTGACAGGCAAGGGCAACCAGGCCACATGCATTACTGTAATTTCAAAATGCAGTAAATTAAGAAATTAAGAAGACCACGATGTGCAACAAATTAAGAAGCATCCATTTGAGCTCATAATATACAATACAAAACTCCAGAGGAGACCAGTAAATATTAAAAGAAATTCTTAGCAATGATGTCCTTTATTCTTTTACAAAACTCCAAATTTAAAGATAACATAAAGAGACTACCAAAACTAAGTCTTAAACAGGGAATGTTCATTTGATCATTATGAACTTCTGGAGAGACCGAACAGATCAAACATAGCAGCTCTCTACTTAATAATAGCGTCCTCTAATCGCGGTCCAGCTGTGCCGCGTTATGTTTTCGGATTTTTTTTTGGGGAAGAAAATAAAAATAAGAATATTAGTGCATCTGTGGGAGGGAGCATAATCACCGTGGAAATTGTGTCTATTTCTCTATTCTTGTTTCGGGTCAAGAAATTATCAATCAAATTATTTTTTCTTTTTTGGGTCATGATTACATTAACTCTTTCTTTGGACCCAAACAGTTGGTTCACACTTGGCAAGGGCAATGAGCACTAGTCCTCCAACATTTAAGTAATTGCCTAAGAGCATCTCCAAGGGAGATATTAAATATGAAATGTTAAATTTGGATTTGATGGGGCTTATGTGGCAATTTGACACTTACGGTGTGTTTGGATAGGTGAAAAAAACTTGAGATTTGGACAAAAGTCAAAACTTCCAAATTGACATACACCAATTCTCATGTTTGGATAAAAAATAAAAAATAATTTAGAAATTGTACATGCATGGAAAAAAAAAAATGGAATTTGGAGGTCATAAGTACCAACTTTAAATTCTATCTAAATAGTTGTCATTTCTAAAATTTCAAAAGAAATGGAGT